AGTAATGTCTCATGAGTACAACAGTACCCCTCATGTACAGGTTTTATGGTGCTTTGGAAAGTTACAGGGTCCAATATAAGATTTGCCAATTTCTGTTTTTGCCAATTGAAATTTGCCAGATTGGCTATGTTGCCTTTTAAGACCATGTGGTAGCCCAGGAATGTGAATTAACCCCACCATGGCCTACCATTTTCAAATGTAGACAACCCAGGGTATTCAAAATGGGGTATGTCCAGTGTTTTTTTTAGTAGCCACAAACGCTAAGCGAAGTCAGCGAAGTCTCCCAAGTACAGTAATACCCACCATGTCCAGGTTTTATGGTGTTTTGGAAAGTTACAGGGATAAACATAGGACTTGTAAAATTAAATTATCTGGACTTGCTGCCTCGGTTGTCAGACTGGTCCATAAATTATAATTAATAAAATGACTTAATTATGTTACAAGAGTACATAAATATACACATAGAATTTAAATATATATATATTTATAAATATATATATTTAAATCCTACGTGTATATTTATGTAATTATATCTATATGTATAGATTTTTTATTTATTATATATTTATGTATATTGAAATATATATATATTCTAAGTGTATTTTGATAATTATATATATGGGTCAGTGTGTGCATGTATGGGTCAGTGTGTATCTTTAGGGGGTCAGTGTGTGCCTGTATGGGTCAGACACACACTGACCCATACAGACAGATCCATACAGGCACACATTCACCCATACAGACACACACTGACCCATACAGACACACACTGACCCAGACAGACGCACACTGACCCATACAAATACGTACTGACCCAAACAGACACACATTCGCTGAAACACATATAATAACCCTCTTACCTTAATTTCACACATCAGTGCTGTTCATGTGTTCAGGCATCTTCAGGGCACCTAGTTTCCTGGAGGCTGATCAGTCTTAGACCCACTGCTATGCCCATTTCTCCTCACTTACAGGGCAAGGGGTGGGAGTGAGCTAATAATGCACGCATGCGCTACCGCTGCAATGGATGTCTGGAAGGGGACCAGGCATTGCGAGCTGATGTGAATCACGAATGCTGCCGGAAGAGTGTTCTACTGGGCGCTAGTCAGCAGCCATGCAAGTGCTCCCTAGTGCCCGGTAACATGGCCAGTGGTGGCTATAAATAATTAATACAGCTCAATAGGGGCACAGCCAAACGAGCAGTGAAGCCACTACCACCGCCACCCTCATTAAGGCACACCCCAGACGGCCGCCTAATTGGTCTATAGGAAGCGCCGGCCCTGTATAACCTCACCACATATATACACACGCCATTACCAAATAAACCTCCATAAAATCCTTTAAACACTATAGATAAGCCTTTCAGCTTGCCCCTTAACTCTTCATCCTTCACAACCTTCTATCTGCTGTGATCCCTGCGTTTAAATACCCCATCCTTTCAGTTATATCCAGATATTTTGATTCCCTCACTAAACTATATTTATCTCTCATTCTTTTTGATTGTGAGGGGCTGGACCTTCTTCCCCTACTGTTCCTGCATGCCAAACATGTTTTGTTAGATTTAATAATAAAAATTATGATACCGCACTCAATGTTGGATGTAAAGCATACAATTCTTCTTTATTTTCAAAGGGACTCATCAGGTCCCGAGCGCGCAGCCCAGGCACACCATCAACCACAAGGCAAAGAGCCTAGGCACTCCATCAACCCCAACAACTACAAGGAAGAGAGATTTACTGTGAGAATAACGAAAAAGCAGCCACCCAGATCCACACAGGAACGCATGAACATTCACCTACCTGCTTGGACAAGTCACTATACTAGTATTCAGCAACTCCACCGCATCCAGGACTTTCCTTCATAAAAAGCATGGTGAGATCTATCCAACAGCATCCACTAGTGGATGCATGTTTTTTGCTACCTTTAGTGTGTACACACTGGTACTGTATATACATTCTTTTAAAAAAAAATTGATCATTTTTTCCTTTTAGCCTTTTTTCTGTTTTTTACATTTCATCATATATACCGTATTTTTCGCTCCATAAGACGCACTTTTTTTCCCCTCAAAAGTGAGGGGAAATGTCTGT